CATCTCTAGCCCGCCCAAGATGACAGTTCCAGGCCCACTTCCCTAGTCTGGTTGTAGCCACAGACCCAACAGTATCTGGGAGAGAACTTTCCAGGATATGACTGTAGGCTAGAGGGCTAGCTGGGCCATGGTGGGCTCCTCTAAGGAGGGCCCCTCATCACTGCCCCTGGCATCCTAGCCAGACACCGTGGTGTCTTGAGGCCCAGCCCAGCCATGTCAGGGCATGAGGTAAACAGATCCACAGGCTCATGTCCCTGGCTATGGTCTAAGCAAGGGTGGGAAGCCGTGGGGGAAGAAAAATTAGACAGGGCAACAGAGGGGCTGGCACTTTTCCAGTTGGCCCGCATGTGGTATGGGGCAGCAGGTGAAAATCAAGGGGCAAGGAGCTTGTGGCCCAGCAATTCTAAAAGGATTCATGTTCAGCTTCGTTGGAGACGGCCTGGGGCTACTACTGATAGGATGAGGTGGGATGGGGTTGGGAGGTGGGACCTTTTCACTTCATCTCAGGATCATGAGGACATCTGATGTGCATCAGGGAGAGAGACTGGGAGCCAGGGTGGGGCAGGAGCCCATGGTGAATATGCCGGCCATGAGTGGTGCCTCTGCCTGGGCACGGCTCTGACTCACCTTGGGTGCAGTCCTGAATGAGCATCCCGTGAGGCAAGTACAAGCCAAGTGCCGAGGTACAGCGGTCCACAAACTCTGCTCCATGGAGCTTGCTGTCTGCTGAGGACAAAGACATAGGCATCTGGAATTTCGTGAGCTGAGCGTGGCGGGGGGCGGGGGATGGTGGTTGGGAGGTGTTATGGGCGCATAGGGAAGCTCCTGCCTCAGCCCTGGGGTGAGGGAGGACTTCACAGAGGAAACAGTGTCTGAGACCCGAAGGACAAGTAGGACTTGGCCAGATGAAAGGGTTGGGAAGGTGTCATAGGCAGGAGGTGCTGCCTCGCCAAGGACCTGGACGCAAAGCAGGAACACCACTGAATGAGGGCTCAGGCATGGCAGGTTGAGAGAGGTGGCAGGAGTCTGCAGGACTTGTGGGCAGGATAGGGAGTTTAGACTGTCCTAACATAGCCTCTCTGGTGCTCAGGGAATTGGCTGGTCTAGAGATTTGTTAGGTGCCATAAATAGGTGTGTTCTGTCTTGGTTGGGGATGCATGAGCTCTGACTCTCCGTCTTCCTAGTGCTGAGTTTGTGAGGCTGGGAGTGGCCCAGGTTGTAAGAGCAGGAGCTCTTTAGCAAGAAGGGTCAGGAGGGTCCTCCAGTCAGCCCTGATTCTTGGGTCAGAGCTGAGCCCCTGAAGCTGCTAGGACCAAGTGAAGCACCTCCTTCCCGGCCTTGTAACCTTGACTCACAACAGTCTTGTCTCTCAGATGGCCGCACTCAATGTCTTGAGCTTGTGGGTGGCCCTGGTTTCCTGGTGGTCATGGCCTGGCCCCACTGCGCTGTGGTGAGGGCTCACTGGACTCTCCAGCCAGTGTTGGGCATGTGGCCGGGCTGTTGAGGGCACTTGGGGAGCTGTATGTGTTCTAGTTGCCCTCCCTGGAAGGCATGGTGTCACCATCAGCACAGAGCGCCCAAAGACCTTTCCAGCACCTTCCCTCATGTGTCTGCAAAACACATATGCAGGTTCAGCACTGTTTTCTTGCACGTTGCTTTCTTCTGTCGAGAGAGTATTTTCCACCACAGATCCTCCTGAAAGCCTCATAGGCCCCTGTCATTGATAACAGACTTTTGCCTTGTCTTCAGCCCAGGGGCATCTCTGGGTCTGGTCAGGGATTGGTTACAGCAGTGAGGTGCCCGGAGGAAGGGAGAGTGAATAGAGCTGGGACAGACAATCAAACAGACTGACAAGTGGGTTGCACTGTCTGGGGCCCCTTGGTGACTGTGGGTTTCCTTTTGCAGTGTTCCTGCATCCGCTGTTAGAGACCCTGCAGCTGGTCCCGTGGGTGAGCTGCCTGCAGAAGTTCCTCATTACACCCTGTTCCCTGTACCCACAGGGAGCTGGCCCACAGGTCAATAGCCTTTGGAAAAGATGGCTTCCTTCCTCTTCCTCACTGGGAGGAAGGCCAGGCTGACTTCCACCTGAGGAACAGAGAAGTGGGGCTGGGGCACAAGAAATGAGAGGAAGTGGCTTAGTCCTGCCCAGAGTTGCAGGCTGTGAGGTACAAGTAGGGTATGAGAGCTGGAAGCCCCACCAGCAGCAGCTAGACCTGAGGCAGGGGTGAGCTTGCAGGGGCTGGAGGGTCCAGGCCCAGAGGGCTGGGCTGAAGTGGCCCCTGCAGTCTCAGACCTCCTTGTGGGTGGCCCTTCTGTGGTGAAGCCCCATTTCTTGCCTCCCTTCCTGTAGGACTGAGGACCTCAGCCGTATGGGAGGAGAAATAGGAGAGGTTTACCTGCCGACGGTTTGGGCAGGGGTGAGGGGCCTGTCAGGGAGGAGGATATTTGTGTCCAGATGGTGGGGAGTATGTTGTAGAAGGGGGGGATGCAGAGAGGGACCTGGTGTCCTTGTGGCATGTTGTAGGGACAAGGAAGAAGAGCTTGGCCTTGGAGGCAGGCAGACCTAGGTTCAGGTCCTGGCCCTGCAACACAATTACTGCGTGACCGTTGTCAAGTCAGCCCCTCTGAGCCTCATCTAGCTCGTCTGTAAAATGGAGGTTAAAATAGCAGTGCTTCATGCTTGGGCTTCATGGTGCCTTATAATGCTGTTGTGGAAACTAAACCTATGCAAAGCACTTAGGAAGGCCTGGCACAGGTGCCTTATTTTGCTGCTGCTGCTGTGGCAGTGGCCACCACCGCCGCTCCTTGGAGCCCTGCTGCCTTGGTGTGGCCCCTCCCCTCCTACCTTTAGGGTTCCCAGGCATCTTTCACTCTTCTCACACCCCCAGATCGTGACCTGTCTTCTCTGAGGGTCCCAGGTCTGGGTGTCTGTGCTCTTGACACTCGTAGCCTTCCAGTGGGGGTGACAAGGAAGGCCTCTGCAGAAGCTTCTGGGGTGATTCAGCCTCCCCAGAATCTGCTCCTTTGGTTTCTTCTAAGCAAGTTCCCAGCCCAGCTTTGGAAACCTACTGTGGGTGGGATCCTGAGTGCTGGTCCTTCCTGACATGCAGGGCGGAGGATGGGAGGCCGACCAGCCTGACCAAACAGCTGCTGGTGAGCCGGCTGCGGGGCCCAGGGCCCCAGGGCCAGAGCAGCCCTGCCCCGGAGCTCCGTTCAGAGACTCCGCCTCCATGTCACTCAACCCAACCTGCAGGACCCCCCCCCCCCCCCCCCCCTGCAGGAACCCCCCCCCCCCCCCCCCCCCCCCCCGCCCCGCCCCCCCCCCCCCCCCCCCCCCCCCCCCGGCCCCCCCCCCCCCCCCGCCCCCGTGCCTGTGTGCCCTCCACCGGGTGCATGCTCTCACACGTGCACACAGCCTCATCCGCCATGTGGCCCTCCCCTTCATCCAGTCCCCGGGTGAGCCGGAGACAGGGCCGTAACTGCGGAAGGGGGGGCAGCCTGTGCTTGTCAGCAGGGGAGGCACAAGTGCACGTGAGCACCTGAGGGGCGCCCGGGCCCCCTTGAGGCACGTGCACGGGCCAGCTCCCCTCCTGGGCACCCTCCCCCTCCCCTCAGACACATTCTTCCTTCCTCTGTCTTGCTTCTACAGATGCACACGTCTAGTTTGCTCACGCTGATTGGAGAGGCAGAGCCTGATGCCTGCAGCCAGGACAGTCACAGCCTGCAGCTTCACCATGGCGCCCAGGGTTATTTTCATGGGGGGAGGGTGGCTTTGGGGTCTCTGCTCTGAAACGGGTTGCCTGTCAGGGAATGAGAGTTTAAAGGCAAGAGAAAGGGGTTTGTTCTAAAGGTGGTTTCTCTGGCCCTCTGCACTCCCTGCTTGTCCAAATTGTCCCCCTGCTGCCAGGGCCAGGGTGACTTGGATGTCCACCTAGTCTCTCCCTCCCTCCCCCGACTTCCGTAAGTGAAGACGAAGGGGGTGCTGCTAGCGGGAAGCACGGTCTGCTTACTGCAGGGCCCGGAGCTGAGGAAGGAAATGAAGGAGGAAGTCCCTCCCCTTCTGGGTGCTGGTGAAAGTGAAAGGCAGGTGGGGGGGGGCGGCTGGAGTGAGTCACTGCAGCTCCGGGAGGGGAAGGGAGGCTGGGAAGCTGCGGAAGCCTGTGAAGGGGTGATAGGGGGCCTCGCAGCACTGAGAGCTGGCCCTTACCGCCCAGCCCCTGCCCCAGCCCACCTTGGCTGGTCTGGTTTCCCAGGAACTCCTGGGACTACTAACTAGGACCTGGAGCTTCTAGGGTCTGAGGCCTGAGGTTGGTCTGGACCTGCAGATTTATTCCCCAGGGCTTCCTGAGCTCCTCTCCCCTCCTTCCCCCTCCCTCCTGACCTGACTGGCCCAGGACCAGAATCTTAGCAGCGTTGGGAAGAGGTGGGCTGCGTAGCTTCCACCCTCACAACTTCCCAGGGAGGGAGAAAAAAAACCCTCTGAAGAAAGACAAAGTCTTTAAAAATACATGTAGGTAATAAAAATACATGTAAGTTATAAAATCCTGGTCTTGATATTCACTGTCCTGTAGCAGGATAAATAGAGCAAACTTTTTTTTTTAAGTCAAGTTAGAAAATAAACACAGACGCTATGAACACTTTAAGTCATACCATGTCACAGAAAAACATTTCAGACCTAAGTTCTAGCAATCTACATCTCCTCAATATCGTAGTTGTGCTAGTCCTTTGCTCAGGACACCAGGAGCTCTTGGGCAGTGGAGGAGGGTAGATGAGGATTGCTGACCAGGTACCCGGCTGGATCCTGCCTCCAGCCAGCCAGGGCTGCAAAACAGGTTCTGTGCTGGTTTGGGGAAGACTCTGGCAGCCACAGTCCCACCCAGCAGCTCCTCCCAGGGGTGGGGCTAGAACTGCACCTACCCTTCTAGGGCCTCACCTACATGCCTCCTTGCAGAGGACGTGAGCCTAGCCCTGGGCCCTGGACTCTGCAAGGACCTGGTGGGCTTCCCACCCTGGAGCCCCATAGTTAGGAATGACCCCTGTTGTCTCCACTTCCTGCATCTGAGATATGCTTGGAGCATCAGAGGAGGCATGGTCTGGATAAAACTCCTTCTGGGTCTGGTGGGGAAGCTACTTCATGGACAGACGTGCTCAGCCCATGGGCAGCCAGACCTGGCCTAAGAGAAGGCCTTTGTTGCCCCTTTAACCATCGTGGCTGGATATCAGACCCACTTGTGCCCTGGCAGGTGCCTTCGTGCAGTGTACAAATTACAAACCCAAATGCTGCAGGGCAAGGTGGTGGGACAGGAGAGTCACAAAGCGCTGTCTTCTTTTTGTTACCCCGAGGCCCTGGCTCCTGCCTCACCAGGGCTGCTCTGTGAACGTGGGCCCCTCCCGCACACTTGCGCTGACGTCTGGGACTGGGACGCTGTGGCTGACACTGTCGTTTTCTCTCTGCAGGCTCCAGGGCCCTGTGGAACATCATGAACTGGGAAGAGTAGCCAAGCCCAAGAACCTCTCCACGAAGAGCAAGGAAGAGCTGACAGTTTCTCCCTGTGCCTGACCTCATCCGCCTCCTGCTCTGCCCCCACTGGCTCCTGGACAAGAGCTGGGCTTCCAGCAGGACCTTTCCACAGGGGATGGGCAACTGGTGAAGTCGGGCTCACTGCCGGGGCCCAGTTGGCCACACCATGAACCTCCAGGCCCAGCCCAAGGCTCAGAACAGGCGGAAGCGTTGCCTCTTTGGGGACCAGGAACCAGCTCCCAAGGAGCAGCCCCCACCCCTGCAGGCCCCACCGCAGCCCCCAGCCCCTCCACAGTCCACCAGAGTGAAGGAGGAGCCTTACTTTGGGCACGAGGGTCCGGCAGGGGCCACCCCGGTCTCCCAGCCTGTGGAGCTGCCCCCTCCCAACAGCCTGGCTCTGCTGAACTCGGTGGTGTACGGTTCCGAGCGGACCACGGCAGCCATGTTGTCCCAGCAGGTGGGCTCCATCAAGTGGCCCAACTCGGCGGCGGCTCCCGGGCGGGGCCCTGAGCGCGGAGGCGGTGGGGGTGTGAGCGACAGCGGCTGGCAGCAGCAGCCCGGCCAGCCTCCACCGCACACGACGTGGAGCCGCCACAGCCTGCCCCTCTACAGTGGACCCAAGGGGAGCCCGCATCCCGGCGTGGGGGTCTCGACCTACTACAACCACCCTGAGGCGCTGAAGCGGGAGAAAGGAGGGGGGCCGCAGCTGGACCGCTATGGAACTGCGGTGCGGCCGGTGATGCCGCAGAAGGTGCCGCTGGAGGTCGGGCGGCCCCAGACGCCCCTGAACTCTTTCCATGTGGCCAAGAAGCCCCCAAACCAGACACTGCCCCTGCAACCCTTCCAGCTGGCGTTTGGCCACCAGGTGAACCGGCAGGTCTTCCGGCAGGGCCCACCGCCCCCCAACCCAGTTGCGGCTTTCCCACCGCAGAAGCCGCCGCCGCCGCCGCCGCAGCCCGCCCTCCCCCAGATGCCGCTCTTTGAGAACTTCTATCCCATGCAGCAGCCCCCCTCTCAGCAGCCCCAGGACTTCGGCCTGCAGCCGGCCGGGCCCCTGGGGCAGTCCCACCTGGCTCACCACAGCATGACGCCCTACGCCTTTCCCCCCAACCCTGACATGAACCCAGAACTGCGCAAGGCCCTCCTGCAGGAGTCGGCCCCACAGCCTGTGCTACCTCAGTCCCAGATCGCCTTCCCCCGCCGCTCCCGCCGGCTCTCCAAGGAGGGTGTCCTGCCTTCTGCTCCCCTGGATATGGCTGGCACCCAACCCGGACAGGAGCCCACCAGCAACCTGTTCCTGCATCACTGGCCCGCACAGCAGCCGCCCCCCGGCCCCCTGGGGCAGCCCCATCCTGAAGCTCTGGGATTCCCGCTGGAGCTGAGGGAGCCTCAGTTGCTGTCTGACGGGGAGAGACTGGCACCCAACGGTCGGGAGCGGGAGGCTCCCACGATGGGCAGCGAGGAGAGCATGCGGGCCGTGGGCACAGGGGACTGTGGGCAGGTGCTACGGGGTGGGGTGATCCAGAGCACTCGTCGGAGGCGCCGGGCATCCCAGGAGGCCAATTTGCTGACCCTGGCCCAGAAGGCAGTGGAGCTGGCCTCGCTGCAGAATGCAAAGGTGAGAGTGGCAGGGGATGGAGGGCAGGATGCCCTGGCCTGGCAGAGGGCGGCGTGAGCCGTGTCTGGGGCCAGGGGAGGGCAAGGGATTGCAAGTCCACAGGGCAGTTTTCTCACTTCGATGAAGGAAACAGAAAGAACCCATAGGCTTCAGGGAGTTCTGAACTCCCTGCGTGCAAAGAACCTCCGCGTAGGTACATTCATACCTGAAGGAGAGGGGAAGTTCCTACACATAGGCTTGCAGGCGGGAAGGTACAGCGCACCATCGTGGGTTGGCTTCTTCCGTTTGGCACATGAAGGATTGGGAGTAGGGGCAGGTGAAACCATTGACAGATCCGGGATACTAAAACAAGAAGGTGGCAGTGGTTACACAGGTGATTATACTTGTCAAAATGCTTCAAACTAATTAAAAAGAGGTGCGTTTTGTTGTATGTAAATTTTGCTGCAATCAAGTTGATTTAAAAGAAATGACAATAACAGTGGGGAAGAAGAATGAACAGAATCTGAGCACCTCTCTTGTACTTGCAGTTTCTTATACCTGATCACAAATAATTTATCATCAAACCCTGTGACAGGGATGCTGCCATTATCCCGTTTTATTGCTAAAAAAGCTGAGGCCCCAGGAGTATTTCCCAAGGTCACAAGGCTAAGATAAAAGTCTAGTATCTGGCTCCAAAGCCAGTGTTTGCACCTTCCTTCCCTAGGGGTTTCAGCCCTCCCACACTCCCTCCCCCCATGCCTGTGGGCCAGGCTGATATGTCAGAGGCTGTAGAATTTGACTTCCCTCCAGCCAGTTGCCAGTGGGGAAAAGGTACAAAGACCACCATTACCTGGTAACCGGTTCCTTGCTTACTTTCTTTTGCAGAGGTATGTTTTGAATTTAGATACTATTTCATGTGCCATGCCCCGTGTGGGGCCAAACAAAACATATCTGTAAGCCACTTGTGGCCTGAGGTGCCCATCTGGGGACCCCTGTGCCAGGCCAGGATCGGAGGCTCTGGCAGAAGGGAGGTTATGGAGAGTATTTGGGAGTGTAGTGAGAGAAAAGGTATTCAGGGAAAGACCATTGGGAACCATCATGGGTGTCTTGAGTTCCTGAATCAAATGTGACTAGGAGTCTAGGACTTAACAGGACTACCTTCTAAACCTTACCTCTGTTCCCCCTCCCTCTCCTCCAGGATGCCAGTGGCTCCGAGGAGAAGCGGAAAAGTGTGTTGGCTTCAACTACCAAGTGTGGGGTGGAGTTTTCTGAGCCTTCCTTAGCTGCCAAGCGAGCACGAGAGGACAGCGGGATGGTACCCCTCATCATCCCAGTGTCTGTGCCTGTGCGGACTGTGGACCCAACTGAGGCGGCCCAAGTTGGAGGTGTTGACGAGGACGGGAAGGGTCCTGAACAGAACCCCACTGAACACAAGCCATCTGTCATCGTCACCCGCAGGCGGTCCACACGCATCCCTGGGACTGATGCCCCAGCCCAGGTATGAGAGGCTCCCCATGCAAACACCTTTAGTACCTGTGTGCTCCTGGGGGCCTAGTACCATATGGGAAAAAGGAGAACATGGAAATATAGGAGGGATTCAAGCAACCCGTGGAGATACTATTTATATTTTCCAAACCAAACTTAGGGATAAATGCACTTATGGGAGACAGTGAGACAGTTTTATACTTGAAGTTGAGACTGCCTAGGAGAATCTAGGGTGTGTGAATCGCTTTCATTTCAAGTCAGCAAATTTTGGCTTCTAATTTGGGTCAGGTTTTGTGCTAGGCACTGGGAGGCAGAGATGTTTACTTGTTCTGTCAGTACAGATATATATATGTTAAAATCTCTCACTAAGATTGAGGTTTTATAAACTCTTTCATCTTTTAGTTCTGTCAGTATTTGTTTTATACATTTTGATGCTGTGTTATTAGTTGCATACTCATTTAGAAGTAGATTAGACACTTCATCATTATGAAGTGTTTCTGTTTATCTTTAGTAATCTTTTTGCCTCTTAAAGTCTGTTTTGTGAACATCTGGCTTTCTTTTGGTTACTGTTGCGGGGGTGGGGGCGATGGATGAGATGCGTATCTTTTCCATCTTTTTACTTTTAGCCCTTCTGTATCCTTATGTTTAAGGTGTATCTTTCAAGTGGCCTATAATTGGAGTTTGTTATTATCTGTTCTGACAACTTTTGTCTTCTAGAGCATTGATATAGTTTACTTTTAACGTAATTACTCAAATACTTGGATTTAAATCTGCCTTCTTACCGTTTGCCTTCTATTTATCCTGTATTGCCTTTTCTGTTCCTTTCTCCCACCCTCTCACTCCCTTTGGATTGATTGGGTTTGTTATTCCATTTTCCCTCTTTATTAATTTATTAGTTATATACTTGTTTATTATTCTTATTTATTTACTTAATTATTACTCTTTTATTTATTTCTTTATGACTCTTTTAGTAATTATCCAGGCAGCCTTTCTTTCCTGGATTAATGTGAGAGAACTAAGCCCCACTAAAAGGAATTTGAATGACTACCTTCTCAATTCACTGGAGGATGGCACAAAGCTAGCACCATTCTAGATGCATAGGCGAGAAGCTAAGTCGTTACATACAGTGAATGCCTTGTGACATTAGGGCTTAATTCTCTGGTTGAAAAGAGCTACTAGAGAGTAAAACATGCATTCTTGGCTTATTGAAATCTAATATAAATTAGTATTTTACCTCTTCCAGAACAATGCAAAGTTCTTACAACACTTTTAACTCCATTTTTCACCAATCTCTAACTTGTAGAATTATTAACATGTATTTTCATTCTCTAAACATTTTAACATCACCAAGATGTTATAATATCATTGTTTTTTATTAAGTTTTTAATTTTAATTCCAGTATAGTTAACATACAGTGTTATTTTAGTTTCGGCTGTACAATCTTGTGATTCAACAATTCTGTACATTCCTCAGTGATAACATTATTGTTTTGTTCAGTTGTTCATTTTAGATTTACTGAAAGACTTAGCATATTTGTTGCTTTTCATTTCTTCTCATATCTCCAAGCTTCTAGCTCAGATGATTTATGTGCTGCTTGAAAAACATCCTTTAGTATTTCCTTTAGTGTGAGTCTATTAATGATGAAATTTATTAGGCTTTGATTGTCTGAAAATTTTTATTTTTTTAAGATTTATTTATTAGCAAGAGAGGAGAAGGATAACTTTGCTGGGTGGAGAATTCGGTTTTGGTAGTTATTTTCTCTTGGCACTTAAAGAATATCACTCTTTTGTCTTCAGACTTCATTGCAGTTACAGTGTTGGGAAATCACCATAAGCCATACTGTTGTTTCTTTGAATATAAGGTGTCTTTTTATCTTCTTGCTTTTAAGTGCTTTTTTTTTTTTTGTCATTGGTTTTCAGCAGTTTTGCTGTTACACCTAAATATTGGTTTGCTTTGTATTTATCCTGTTTAGAGTTTGTAGTCCTTCTTAAATATTTCTTCTGCCCCATTTTCTCTCTTCTCTCCTTCTGGGACTCCAGTTACACACTTGTTAGAGTCTTTCACCATATCCCCTATTTTGTCTGTCATGCACTTTTCTGTATTTCCACTTTGGCCTTCCAGTTCACCTGTTCTCTCTTTAGCTATATCTAATATGTTGTTAAGCCCACTCATCGAGTTCTTATTTTTTTTTTATTTTTTTATTTTTAAAGATTTTATTTATTTATTTGAGAGAGAAAGAATGAGAGATAGAGAGCACGAGAGGGAAGAAGGTCAGAGGGAGAAGCAGACTCCCTGCTGAGCAGGGAGCCCAGTGTGGGACTCGATCCCGGGACTCCAGGATCATGACCTGAGCCGAAGGCAGTCGCTTAACCAACTGAGCCACCCAGGCGCCCACGAGTTCTTATTTTTAGTTTTTTTTTTTTGGTTACTGAATTTCTATTTGGTTCATTTTTAGAGTTCCTAGTTCTTCGATGAAATTTTCAACCTTTCATTTTATTGCATAATTTAGGCATAGTTTTCTTAAAGTTTATGTCTGATAACGCCATTAGTGGGATCCCCAGGGGTCTCTTTCTGTTATGTTACTTCTTGTTTCTAAGTCACATTTTGTTCTCTTGTATATCTGGTGACTTTTAATTGCATGAAAAATTGTTGAGGTAATTAAAGACTCTGGATGATGTTCTTGTCTTCCAGAGAGGATTTATCTTTGCATCTGACTGGTAGCAAAGGGCATTAGCAATCCTGAATTACTTTAATTTAATCAGCCGTTGAGATGAGATGATTCTAAGTTGAGCATTACTCTGTGTGAGGACTAGTCTATTTCTGATGTACCTTTATTCTGAGGATTTAGCCCTTTGGAGCCCCAGTCCAAAGCCTGGGGGTTTATCAGGCTCTCCTTCTTTGGCAAGGCCTAAAGCCCAATTTTTATTCTGCTAGCTCCTGGATTTGTTAAAAACTCTGTTTAGTTTCCCAGTTTCCCAGTTACCTCTTCTAGTAATGCACCCACCTCTAGGGAAAACACAGCTCCAAATGCTGCACTCACCTCTTTCACTTTCCTTTTTTTCCTGTTATCTTGGCTCTTCAAGTCTTTGCCAACTGATTTGCTCTCTGGTACCTTCAGAAATGTGGTTTTTATATAGAGTTTGGATCTTTTAGTTGTTCTCAGCTGGAGAGTTGGCCTGTGAGCCTGTCCTCTGTAATAGAAAGGGGAGCTTTGAGATTATCATGAACAGCTCAGTGTCTACTCTCTGGGGTGTTATTCCCTGGTTGTGATAGAGATTGGAGGCTAGAGCCCTCAGCTTGTCCTGAGGATGGCCGGAAGGAGCCTGAGCAACTACACAGCTCTGCATGCCCATTTCATAGATGAGGAAGTAGGTCTAGAAAAGGCAAGAGACCTACCTAAGTTCGTACAGCCAAGTAATGACAGAGCTAGCCCTGGAATTTGGATCTCTTAAATCCCCACCCATGGATACTTTCACTTCACCAGGCTTTAGGAGGAGGTTTATTTATTTATTTTTGGTTATTTGTTTACTTATTTTTTTATTTTTCTTTGTATTACAGATATTTTCAATCTTGCACAAAAGAATAGAGAATGGTAAAATGAACCACAGTATTTAGCCATCCCCTGGCTTTAACGGTTTTCAAAATATAGACATTCTTTTTTTATTTGTATCTCCACTTCTTCCTGCCGCTGGATATTTTTTTTTCGAAACAAATGCCAAACACCATATCATTGCATTCATACATACTTAGGTTTGTATCTGAAGTACACAGTACATAAGCTTTCTCCCTTCCTTCCTCCCGTCCTTCCTTCCTGCCTTCCTCCCTCCCTCCCTCGCTCCCTCGCTCCCTTCTTCCTCCCTTCCTCCCTCCCTTCTTTCTATATATAACCTCAATATTATTATCACACCTACAAAATCAATACAAAAAATATTGTCAAATATTCAAAATAGTTTAATTCCATTTCCCTTATTACAAAATTACAAATCATTACAGTTAGCTGAGTTCATGTTGGATTTCTTGTCTGGCAAGTTTGGGGGCCTTCGACTCCACTGCATTTCTTTCTGTGCAATCATCTTGTTCTCCTAAGGGAGGAAGAATGAAAAATTTCATTTCTTCCTAGTCTGTAGAAAAGAAAAAAGGGCACAAATGGGTAAAGGACATGGCCAGAACCTCACGGAGAGTCAAGGCCCTCTGCTGAAAGGGGTTGTGGGAGCTGGGCCCTGGGAGGGGGAGAAAGCCTGCTGTTCCCAGGCCTCCTCAGTCAGTGTGGCCAGCCTCACCTGTCGGCCAGCTGTACCCCCAGGGAGATGATGTGGGTTCCATTCTCTCTTGAGAGGACAGGGATGGGGCAGAGAAAAGCCTCTATTCCCTTACAGCCCTACCTACCCTCTATCATGGGACTGATACTAGGAGGACAAGTTCTGTGAGATCAGGACTGTCTTGTTCATTCTGTGGCCCCATGCCCAGCTCAGGTCGGGGCACACAGCAGGCGCCTCCATCTAATACAGAGCTTGATAGCAGCCGGTATTTCTTGGGCAATTACTACATATCAGGTACTATTCTCAGTGATTTCCATGTATTAATTCATTTCGTCCTCATGGCTAACCCATGTGGTAGGTGCTTATTATTCCCAAGTTAAAAATGATGATGCACAGAGAAGTTAAGAAATTTTAGGTGGTAAGTAAAGGAGGTAGATCCCATACCAAGCATTCCAGCTGCGGAGCCTGGACCCGTAACTACTATGGTTTCCTGTCCAATAGCACACTTCACCTCGGGGATTGGGAACTAGGGCCTGTGGGCCAAATCCAGACCTAAGAATGGATTTTACATTTTATTTCTTTATTTATTTATTTGGATTTTACATTTAAAAGGATTATTTGAAAAAGATGGGGAGGAGGGGAAGAAGAAGAATGGAGATGGGCGTGGAGCCCACAAAGCCTAAATTCACTCTCTGGCCCTTTACTGAAACAGTTTGCTGACCCCCAGCCTAGAAGAGAGAGGGAAAGGACCTGTTCCCTGTCTCAGGTTTGCCTTGGCGGGTGTAGTGGGCAGACTAAGTTCCAAAGAGGAGACTGACAAGCCGTGGTCAAGTCTTCGGTTTTCCCAGCACACAGGAGGCTGAGCCATCTTGGTTCTATTTCCTTCTCCAGGCTGAGGACATGAATGTCAAGTTGGAAGGGGAAGCTTCAGCGCGGAAACCAAAGCAGCGGCCACGGCCTGAGCCCCTGATCATCCCTACCAAGGCGGGCACTTTCATTGCCCCTCCCGTCTACTCCAACATCACCCCATACCAGAGCCACCTGCGCTCTCCCGTCCGCCTAGCCGACCACCCATCTGAGCGGAGCTTTGAGCTGCCGCCCTACACCCCTCCCCCCATCCTCAGCCCTGTGCGGGAAGGCTCCGGCCTCTATTTCAATGCCATCATGTCAACCAGCAGCATCCCAGCGCCCCCTCCCATCACGCCAAAGAGTGCCCATCGCACCCTGCTCCGGTCTAGTGAGTGATCCACCTTCAGGGGCCACGGGGGGCAGGGGGTGTGGGCAGGGAGGGCAGTGGGCAGGGATGAGACTCCACTTATCGGGCTGCTGGAGATGGGGCTAAAGCACTGTAGGCAAAGGGGCTCCACTCTCTTCTCTGAGAGAGAAAAGGAGATTTTCCTGGTTCAAGAACAGGCAGGGGTGCGGGGGTGGGGGGGTATGAGCCCAACTGCTTGGGTTCAAATCCCAGTTCTACCATTTACTATTACTTGTGCAAATCATTTAAACCCTCTCAGCTTCAGTTTCTTCAGTATTTAATTGAAGATATTAGTAGTGTTGGGTTGATGATGAGATTGCCAAGTTCAAGTGTTTTGGGATCCACAAATAGCAGTTTCCTAGGGTTCAGCCTAATAGCCACCTCACAGGGTTGTGGTGAGGTTCAGATGCAATAACAAACAAACGTAAAGCACTTAACGTCATGCCTGGAGCAGTCACGTCTGCTCTTACTCTGTGGTAGATCCTGTCTCCTGGGTCTCTTAAACAGTTGTTTTGGCCAAGAGCAGACATTTTGGCAGGCCTGGCTAGTGAAGTGTTGAAAAATGTTTCCCACTCCACAAAAGGATCCTGTTTCCTCTGAAAAAATGGGATAATCCTCTCTCTTAGGTAGTGGAGGATTAAGTGGGAGGTAGAAGGGTGAGGCTGCGCCATCACCAGATTAACCTCTGACCCTGACTCCCTTGGTGTAGCTCTCTGGTGCCCCCTGGTGTCTGCGGGTGAGAAATGGCTCACCCTGGGCTGGCCGACCTGCCCTCCCACGTACCCTCCAATCTTCTGAGCTCCTCTCCCTCCCTGGGTTGTGCAGGAAGAAGTCACTGTAGAGACCAGACTGGCAGCAAAGAGAGGCCTCCTGTCCATCTATGAGTATTTATCGAGTACTTGGGTGTAAAGCGTTGAACTGGCCCTGGTGAATGCTTCAACAGTGCATGGGACAGCATGGTCTGTTCTAAAGAGAGTACAGGGTCATTAGGGAGTTGACATGGGAACCTGGGAGACAGAAAAGCAGAGGTTATGAGCAAGAGTGGGATCAGTAGCCAGCGACTCAAGCAGACCCTAAGCTCCAAAGCCTGCAGAGGCTCCTAGCCTGGGGTGGTAAGAAAGCATTCAAGAGAGGGTGGGGCTAGAGCTGAGCTTAAACTAGGAAGGGGGTGGGGAGGGCCCACTAGGCTAAGGAAACAAGTGGTACAAAGGCCTGGAGGTGGGATGTGCAGGAAGAGTGATGAACCGTGAGTAAGCAGTCTGCTAGGATCTGGGGTTCAGGCAAGGGGGTAGGGGGAGGTATAGATGGGAGGGGGACTGCATGAGCCAGCTGAGCTGAGGAGTTCAGGTTTTATCTCAGGCTGCAGAGGGGAGTCAGCCAAGGTTTTGGTTTTGAAGCAAGGGAGTGTGTGGGTCACATGGGGCACTAAGATTAGCTCAGGAGAAACTGAGGCTGAGAATCCAGCATGGAAGTGAGAAGATAAGTATGAAATGGGGATCCCCTTCACCACCTTGCTAGCGTGCCAAAAGTTTCAGCCTCTTGACTAGAGCAAGTGCAGTTTAATGTTGGAGTTAATTCTGTAGGGTGGGAGCTCCTGGGGCAGGGACCCAGCTTTGGGTAGGAGTAGTAGTAATCATAATAATAGCTGATATTTATTGAGGGTGAGGCTCTGTGTGTGATTTCATTCAGTCCTCACATTAACCCTAGGAGGTGGGTAGTAATAGCCCCTTTCAGCAGGTGTGGAAACAGAAGCACCCACATGTTTGGCAGAGTCTCAGTTAGTCGTCACAGTTGCAGGCTGAGGAGCCAGGATTCAGGGGGCCTGATTTCCAAGTGTGAGTCTCTGTGAGTCACTGCTGTGGGTCTTCGCAAACAGAGCAGCCATGTAGGGTGGGGGTGGGGGAGCTTGCTGAAGGGAGGAGGGTGCCGTTCACCAACATGCCTTTTGTCCCATAGATAGCGCCGAAGTCACCCCACCTGTCCTCTCTGTGATGGGGGAGGCCACCCCAGTGAGCATCGAGCCGTAAGTGCAGCCCTCCCTCTGGCCCGTGGCATGAGGGTGGCCGAGTGGGGTCCAGTGCGTGCGGGTCCCGTGAGGAAGAGGAGGGTCGTGTGGGGCCCACAGAGGGCTGAGCGGGCCTCTGAGATTCTGCAGTGGGTTCTGGGCTTTACTGTCCCCACCCTGCTTCTGTGTGGAAGTCACAGGGAAAGAAAGGATGAGCGCCGTTTAAATTTGCCTCTGAGGAGAATTAGGAGCGTAGTCCAAGAGACTCCTTCTGTGTCTGGAAACCTGGAGCTTCTCCCCTTTCCAACCTCTGGGCCTTGTCTTTCTGGCCGTACCAGGTGCCCTTTGCCAGGCTTCCTCATGGAAGGCAAATTCCCTTACACCCAATTGCGGCCTTGCTGTGCTCAGCCTCTGCCAGCTACCCGCTGCATCTTATCCCACCCCGGGGGGAAGGATTCCCTGTCACCACGGGGTGAGGCCTCACTCCCTGCCCTTCCCACCCCTGCAGACGGATCAACGTGGGCTCCCGGTTCCAGGCGGAAATCCCCTCGATGAGGGACCGTGCTCTGGCAGCTGCGGACCCCCACAAGGCTGACTTGGTGTGGCAGCCGTGGGAGGACCTCGAGAGCAGCCGGGAGAAGCAGAGGCAAGGTGAGAGGGGATCGGAGCCAGGAGGTGAAGGTGGGCTGTCGGGCAGGTGGGTGGGCTAGGCCCGGAAAGTGATTTCTTCTCCTCCCTTCCTACACGTGCTCCAGTGGAAGACCTGTTGACAGCTGCCTGCTCCAGTATCTTCCCTGGCGCTGGTACCAACCAGGAGCTGGCCCTGCACTGTCTGCATGAGTCCAGGGGAGACATCCTGGTGAGAGAGCGGCCCTGGTGGAGGGAGGGACCCTCAGGGAGGCTGGCCTGGATCTGGGTCTTCTGCGCAGGAGCCAGGACTGCTGATCTGAGGCGGGCAGGAGGGTCTGACCAAGCTGGGGGTTGTAGGGGCTCCACCCACGGCCATCTTAGTTCCAAAGTCCAGACTTTGCTGCACAGGGTCCTCCCGTCTACCCCAGTCTCCGATTCTGGGTGAGTCCCCACCCTTAGAAAGGCTGTCACTAAGGGCTTTCTCCACCTGTGGCTGTCTGTCCTGGGGGCCGCATGTTCCCTCTTAAGAGGCCCATGGCCTGGTTCCGGAGCAGCCCCATCCCCCATGACCTCGCCATCCTGCCAGACCTCTTGTCCCTCAGCAGTTAAGCGGGGGCAAAAATAAAGGCCCACCCTACTACTCAGAGGGCTGAAGAGGCCTTCTGGGAGTTTTGCCTGGCATGTAGGATGCTCAGCCTACCACTGAGACCCCTGCAGGGCCTTGACCCTTTTCCTCACTTCCCCTTCAGGAGACGCTGAATAAGCTGCTACTGAAGAAGCCCCTGCGGCCCCATAACCATCCACTGGCAACGTATCACTACACAGGTGGGCCTGGGACCTGGAGCCTCAAGGGGTCTCCAGCATCAGTGGGGCCCAGCTTCGTGCTGAGTCACAGCGCTGGGTGTGGGTGAGGAGGTTGCAGGTGGACAAGCCAAGAGCCAGAGTGAAGAAACTGACACCAAAGCTGGGGTGGTTCTCAAGGGGCTTCCTGTGCCCTGGAGGGGAAGGGAGAAAGGTGTGGGCGGGTGGGAGGCCATGCAGGCAGAAAAGTCCATGGCAGGGTGCAAGGGACAGGAGTCTAGGGAGTGCCATCCAAACTAGCATCAGGTGCCTGGAACTTAAGACAGCCCCTGGAGTGCCCTGTCCCCTCCTGGGCGCTGTGCTCTAGAAGGGACACTGACCGAATGGCCTAATCACAGCTGCCACTGTCCTCGATCCCTTTTGAGCGGTGCATCTTGTGTGTGCATCTTGTGCAGAGCATCAAGGGTTCCACAGGATTACCTCATTTAGTCTGCACCACAGCTGGTGCGGTGGCTTCTATGATGAGCTCCCAGTTGGAGAGTGAGGAGAGTGAGGCTCAGAGGCAAGTTAAGTGGCACAAGCAGGATGTGGATCCAGCTCTGAGAGCCTGCAGAGACCACCTGTGGATGCCCTCACACTTCTGTGCTGCTCAGGATCGCCCCCTGAGGGGCGCCCGGCTCCACCTCACGACCTCGGCTCCTCTCTTCCCCACAGGCTCTGACCAGTGGAGGATGGCGGAGAGGAAGCTCTTCAACAAGGGCATTGCCATCTACAAGAAGGATTTCTTCCTGGTGCAGAAGCTGGTAAGCTGGGGCAAGTGAAGGCCAGGAACTGGCTGCATGATTTGGGGCTCCCTCTGCCGGTGGTGGGCCTGCAGTCCCTCACCAGGCCCTCTGAGAAAGCAGTTAGGTCAAGGCCAGTCGGTATCCTCAGAGACAGACAAAACAAGGGGGAAAGATTGGGCCTTTCCTTCCCTTGGTTCCGAGCCTTCTTCCCGCAGGGTAGTGTGGCCATGTGCTGGGATCTCAGAGGGAGGCCTGAGTGGGCAGACCCCGCGAGGTCAGACTTCAGAGAGTGACCTGCCTTGTGGGGGGAACAGGAAGAGAAGGAGGGCTGCAGACAGATGTGAGCCATTCTCCAAGGGGCTGGAGTACTTCAAAAGCCACAATCAGCATGTGGAGGAGAGATCACCCTAAGAATGAGGGGAACTGAGAGCCAGCAAGGAAGAGACTGTGTAATTGACCTGGGGGGCCGCTGCCCTCTTCCTGCCAGACCCAGGGCTTCCTTCCAGTAACTCAGCTGACCAAGTAGAGGAGGCCAAGCCTAGTTTTCCTAGATTGGATTTATCTTGTCCTCTCCCTGTGTTCTTCTGGGAGAAGAAGAGTGCTTTGCTGATCCAAGGACTTGCATCTTTCCAGCAGCCCTGCCTCACAAAATCTGAGCCTTGTGGACCGCGGAGGAAAGAAGGGTTTCCAAGAATGTGTCCTCTCCTCCTGAAACTGTAGATTATGCCAGGACAGCTCTGGGGACTGGGCAAAGTGCTGATGAACTCTCCTACAAGGGCCTTGTTGTGAGGACAGTCATTTGCTGGGGTTTAGCAACACTGCGTTCCCAGATTGGGCAACATTTCTGCGAAGTACATGCCTGTGAAATGCACTGCGGGGCCCCTAACGCCTTAATGAAAAGAGCAGACCATTAGTCATACAGATGGTCAGAGAGAATTGATAGCAAAAGTGTAAACAGGATCTAATTAATACATTTGTGACTTGCCCATTCCTGTGAGATTGGAGCACATCTGTTTCCTCCTCGGGCACTGAGGACTGTCACTGACCCCTTGGGCTCTGTGGACAGGACTTCCCAGCTCCCTCGGCAGCCCCATAGTTGGCTGAGCTGCCTGGGAGCCTGGGGCAGAAAGGGCAGAGTCAGAGCAAACAGCCTCTGTGTGGGAAACGCTCCAGAAACTAAACCCAGGAGCCAGATGGATTTGTGACCTGGGAGTGCTAGGATTTCAGAGGCTGGGAGGCCCCTTGGAGGCTCATCTACACGTGAAGAGACTCGCCTAAAGGCACACAGCCATTTAGTGGCAGAGTTAGGAGTAAGACTTGGGCCTTCCGCTTCCTTTTCAGGTTTTCCAGAACTTTCTTATTAGTGTCCTTTCAGTCCCTCTCTGACATAGGACAGTTTAACATTTCTCTAAGCCTCACTTGCCAGTTGCAGCACCCTGGGGAGGAATGACACTGTTGCCCAGCTTGATGAAGGCAGTTTGTGTTGCCAGGTCTGCGCTGGCTCTGAACATGGATGGTGTCCAGACTTTTTCACCCTGAACTTTTTATTTTGGAAAAATTTCAGACTTACAGCAAAATTGAAAAAATAGTACAGTGAACACCCATGGACCCCTCATACACATTTACCAATTGTTACCGTTTGCCATACTTGCTTTCCCTCTCTCTCTTTCTTTTTCTTGTTTATATATAAATTTATATACACCCGACTTCCTCTCCCTCTGTTTTAACTAATCATTAAAAGGTAGTTACAGACATCATGACACTTGATCCAAATATCACTTAAAAACAAGGATATTCCCTTGCAAAACCACAATACCATCATCATACCCAAGAAATTTAAACTGATACAGTAATATTCTCTAATATGCAGTCCCTATTCAGATCTCCCCCAATGGCCTCATGTTGCTTTTAGCTTTTTAGCTTTTTTAGTTTTTTTCTTTTCTCTTCTTTTTTAACAGTGCTGAAGCATTGGTCAGTGGTTTGTTCAGAGTAGGCATCGGAGAAATGGTTGTATTTCCTGGGTTTCTCGGGTTTAGCATTTGCTGCGGTTGCGGGGGAGGGGGGGACGGGACAGGAGCGGACGGAAAAGGCTGGAGTATCCCCAGGCAGGTGAGCTAAACCAGGAACTCTGACCTCAGTTTTGGCTTCAAACCAGATCCAGACCAAGACCGTGGCCCAGTGCGTGGAGTTCTACTACACCTACAAGAAGCAGGTGAAAATTGGCCGCAATGGGACGCTAACCTTCGGGGATGTGGAAACGAGCGACGAGAAGTCAGCCCAGGAAGAGGTTGAAGTGGACATTAAGGTGACTCCCTTCCCAGCTTCAGCTGCTTAGAGCCTTGGCTGTGTCTGGGGCCAGGGGCTGAGCTGGGAGCCTGAGACCCAAGCTCTCTGGAAGTCCCTGGAGGGTAGAGAGAGGAAGGCAGTGTCCCTGACAGTGCCAAGGAGCTGATGTCCTGGGCACTGGACCTGGACCTTTTAGGTTCCCCTCTCTGTCTGCCAGTGTCATGGTAATAACAGGTTGTGTTGACGCAGAAGCCCAGGGAGTTTTCCCACAGTGTTTGCACCAGTGCTCACCTACTGTCCCCTGGCGGCAGACGTCTAACACTGTTGCCCAAACTGGAGTCATTCTTAATACAGCCACGAATATGTTCTCTCTGCATCCCGACCACATGTCACTGTTACCGATTTTGTCATGTTCACATACCACCTGTGCTTCTACTACATATTTTTCTTTAAATCAACTCATTTTTTACTCAGAAGAGAAACATTGTATCACAATCATAAACAGATAACCAGTATTGTTTGCCATAGAAGGTACTAGTGGAAATAAGTAGATAATGAAAACCAAACAATGTTATTAAATTCTAGGTGGATACTCTTACCTGCCAAGGCTCTGAGTCTTGGGCCTGATCTCTGTTTAATTAAATCTGGAGAAGTACAGAGGACACCTTAAGATCCAACTCGAAACTTTGTCCTTGACACAATCAGGATTGAAAGAAAATTGAAAAGTGAATGTTATTTAATTCTCTGTCCATGTATCCACCTAACGTCATCTTGGTGATGCGCTAAGCAGGGAGTGGTTTGGTCCCCAGTGTGCAGATGGGAAGTGGGTGCAGGTCCCAAAAGCATGACAAAGATGGTTTAGAATTGCAGCTAAGGCTGCTGCCTGGCCAGACCACCTTGCTGAAGGATGTGTCTCTTGGACTGGCATGCTCCCACCCTGCCCCTAACTCAATCTCAAGTGCTCCGTCTCTTCCTGAGGGCTTCCAGGGCTCCAGACTCCATTGTCTTTCCTAGGCAGACTAGCGGGGGAGCACATAGAGCTGCAGCGCGGGAGGCCGCGCGGGGCGGGCCAGGCCAGGCCAGCAGGATGAGCAGGGGCTAGTGGCCCCGGGCTGGGTCAGAAGCAGGGCAGTGCGCTGTGTAACTGACCTCCAGGCTCACTGCCCTCCCTCTTGTCCCCTGTAGACTTCCCAGAAGTTCCCTAGGGTGCCTCCTCCCAGAAGAGAGTCTCCAAGTGAAGAGAGACAGGAGCCCAAGAGGGAAGTAAAGGAGACCAGGAAGGAGGGGGAGGAGGAGTTGCCAGAGATCCAGGAGAAGGGAGAGCAGGAAGAGGGGCGAGAGCGGAGCCGGAGGGCTGCGGCTGTCAAAGCCACACAGACACTACAGGCCAATGAGTCGGTAAGTGTGACCTCCACTGGGGGAGTCCAGGGCCAGGAGGAGGGCTGGAGCTGGGCCTGGGGCTGTGGGAGGGAGGGCAGAACAGGAACATGGAACCCTGTGTGGTAGGTACTGTCATTAGTCCCATTTTACAGATGAGGAAATTGAGGCCCCTAGGTAAGACAACTAGTGGGCAGCCTGACTCCAAAGTCTGCTATTAATTTTTATACTATATTGCTTCTGGATCTGAGACTCAAGAAGGCGGCTTTGTGAAGACCTAAAAGGCATGTGGGACGTTGGGGAAGCATTTATGAGTTGTAGGTCAGGCAGGCTCCCCCTAAGAGAGCTGTGTCCCCACCACAAACGTCTGGCAAGAACGAGCTGAGACCGTGAGAACAACAGTGGCCCCTCACACATGTTCTCCACACAGTGCCTTCCTGCCCATTATCTCTTGTTGATTCCTCACGGTAACCCCATAAAGTGTTAACACCTACCTGGAAGATAGAGGACACTGGGTTCAGAGATGCTGAGTGACTTGCCTGAGGTCCTGCCCACGGTCCTTGTAGTGAGGTCCTCTGTCCACCGTATCACAGACCAAGAAGCCAGACATACCGGCCAGAGGTGTTCCTTGTCAGGGAGAGGTCCCCCAAAAGAGAGTAGGGATGAGAAGGGCCTATTAGGGAACTACCATGAGAACCTTTTAAAAAATATTTTTGTGTTGTACACTTACGCTTGCAGGAGACCCCCCCACCCCCACCCCAGACTGTGGCCAACAGCTGTTCCCTCTCTTCCGAGACTTGGCTGTGCCCCTTTGCCAGGAGCTGTGCTCTGTGTACAAGCTCCATCGAGTTCTGCTGACTTCTGTGAATACGTCCCTATGAGGGTCAACCCGTGCACATACTTACGACTTCTGATGGCCATCTGAGGCTCCCCTGACCCAAGGCCCATGATTCCTATATCCTGAGCAGCACCCGTCCAGCTCTGTGCCGGGGTCCTCCACTCTCGGTCGTTTGCTTGTCTACTGGGCATTTCCGCTGGCGGCTCATGTTGTCTGTCCCGTTCACTAGATTTCGAGTTCTCTGAGAGCAGGGGTTCCTGTCTGTCACCTCTGTATCCCCAGCATCTGGCACAGTCACATGGGCTTGAATCTCATTTACGGAATTAAGGCATGAATGAATGGGCTAAATGGCTGAAAACATGCAAACAGCATTAATTGAGACACCAAGGCCCCCCGTCAGATAGATGCATGGAGAAGTCCTGGCTGCCATAGGCTGTCCCACAGAATGACTGTACCAACAGCTTTGCAAAGATAGAGTTGGCCAAAGACCGGAGTGGGCTGCCGAAAAGCAGTGAGCCCCTTGTCACTGAAAGGATTCAAGTGGATTCTAGGGGACGATTTGGCAGGAGTGATTCGGGAACCTCTCTTCCCCAGATCTCTCACCTCTCGTCTGATCCTCTCCAGGCCAATGACATCCTCATCCTCCGAAGCCATGAATCAAATGCCCCTGGGTCTGCTGGTGGCCATGCCTCAGAGAAGCCAAGGGAGGGGACAGGGAAGTCACGGAGGGCACTACCTTTTTCGGAGAAGAAGAAAAAACCAGAGACATTTAACAAGACCCAAAATCAGGAGAACACTTTCCCTTGTAAAAAATGTGGCAGGTAAGATGGTGGCCCTTCCTCCCCTGGGACCTAGCAGGGTGGCCACGGCTGGGGGGCAGGGGAGAGGGAAGAGGCAGTGGGAACTTTCCCCTTGTCTTCTGATTGGCAGCGAGGGTTTCTAGGGCAGTGATGTCACCTGGCTCCGAGAAGAGGGATGATGGCGCTGAATCAGGAACCCCTCCGTTTGTTCCCTAGGAGGAGGGTGGGGGTGGGCCGAGTGGCCGGAGCCCGTCAGGCAGGGCTCAGTAGGGGCCCAGGCGGGGCGCACACTGCGCACACTGCACACACACTGCACACGCACGCACGCACGCCCTAGCCTGGTGGTCCCAGGGGCGCGGGGCGGCCCTCTGACTTGAGCCCCTCCTGCCCCGGCTACAGGGTGTTTTATAAGGTGAAGAGCCGCAGCGCCCACATGAAGAGCCACGCGGAGCAGGAGAAGAAGGCCGCGGCTCTGAGGCAGAAGGAGAAGGAGGCGGCGGCCGCCGCGGCCACCGCGGCGGCCGCCTCTCCGCACCAGCCGGCCCTGCGCGAGGAGAGCGGCGCGGGGGAGAGGGGCTGACGGCCCGGGGTGGGGGGAGCTCGGCCGCGAGGCCCCGGGGCCGCCCCTCTCCCCGGACCCCCGGCCCTCCCCGCACCAGCCTGCCCGAGCTCCTGCAAGCACCCCGGGACCTCCGGAGGGAGAGAGGAGAGATCACGTGGACTTTTCTCTGCAAAACGAGACAATAAAATAAACGGCTCTTTTATTTATCAAAGGCCCGGGAGCAGTCTTCAGGGCTGCAGGATCCAGTTCTCTTGCATTCGGTGTCGGAAGTCACCCTTAACGCTTTTCTGGAACAGCCGAGGTCCCTGCCGGCTGGGGCTGCCGCCCCCCTCGGGAGGGCCTCCAGCGTCGCCACCGCCGCCCACGCCGGGACCTCGGCCGCCGCGCAGCCTCTTCCGTCCGTGACACACACCCCCGCCCCCCGTCCCCACGGAGAGCCGAGCACTAGCTCGCCCTCCTGGCAGCAATATTTCCGCTCCCCAGAGGACCTCAAAGGCTGCACAGGCCCTGCCCCAAGCCCCGGGCAAAAGGGACTCCCCGGGAGGGAGTGTGGTGGTCTCTCTGAGAGGGAGCTCAGCCTGGTACCTGTGCTGTCCCCTACACGACAATGCCCAGGCCTGCGCCGCTCCCGTGACCCTGTCCCAGGCCACCTGCTCTGGGAGGAAGCCTCCCGGAATGCCTGTAGGTCAGAGGACAGGTACCTGTCCCTTTGCTCCTGGCGAGCAGCCTGCTGGGGCTGAAGTTTTCTCGAATGTGGGGGAGGGACCGGCGTGCCTCCCGAGCGCTCAGCCTGCGGGAGGGCAGGCCGCACGTGGTGGAAGCTGCAGGGTGGGGCTGGAGAGAACTTTTTGATAAACCTTGGCTCTTCCTGTTTCCCATCTTTTTGCCAAACGCCTTTGGGCCCTGGAGGCTGCTAAGGGAGCTTACCTGGGGCCCAGCCTGCTCCTCCCTGGTGCAAGTTCCCCCCTGCCTCTGTCCTGCCCTTGGCAGCTGCCCTCTAACCCCGTCGCAGCTGGTCTAGTGCTGATATCCACAGCGCAGCCCCCAGTCCTGCTTGCTGGAGATTTCTGGATCCTTCCCTGGGAGGGGGAGGTCTCCTAACCAGATTGGACAGGAGCCTTCATTCCTTGACTTGTGTCATTTGAGAGCTATTTATTTATTCTTAATATTTAATTTTTAACATCCTCTCAGGGACCAGGGGCCTCCTGCTTTCCAGAGGCCCGAGTGCATTTATCCCAAAACAAGGCACCTTCTTGGCATCCACCCCACCCCCCCATTCCTAAGACTCTAGGGTCCCTCACCTCATTGCTCTGGAAGCTTTTGCCAATAGGAGCGATAGTAGCACTGAAAGAGGGTGGAAAAGTGTGAGGTGTCACCAAAGCCACACAAAGACTAGCAGAAGCAAGGGAGATCAAAGGCAGTTCTTACTGCTACCTCTTCTCTGGCTGTATTTTCAAATTGCCTGAGGGGATTGGCTGGAAGCCAGAATTCTAGTCTTGTTTCTGGCTGGACAAGCCATATTTGGCATGGAGTCACTGAAGTGAAGGGCTGGAAGGTTCTAGAGGCCCCATCACTTGCCAGTCCTATAGGAGTGCTGAGTTATTTTTCTGATCTTGTTATTCAACTTTAGTTGTGTTAAAAGTTCCAAGTGCGTGCAAGTATATGACAGATCAGCAGGTTAGGAAGGAGCTGAAAATTCTACTCTCCTTACGAGATAGCCTAAAGGCGCCATATTTGGTAGCTGGGAGTGGGGAGGGAGTTTTGTTTCTAAACTATGCACTAGCAGGTGTTCTTCAGCATTCACTTATGCATTAATATGGTTCTTCAGGACCCCAGCGATGGGAGTAACAAAATTCTTCTCCCCGCCATACTCCAGGAAGCTACCTAGATCTTCAACTTCCCAGTTTCCCCCAAAGGCTTCTTCAAGGTCCCTAGACCGCAAAACCTGGTATACCCTCCAGAAACAGGAGGGTGGCAAATTTAGGCTGTCTTCTAAATCACTTGTGTAATAAGAGTGCCTTCGCAGCTTCGCCCCAAAGTGCTACTTAGGTTTCCCGAGGTTTTTTCTATTTAAATAGTATTTAGTTTCAGGCCCCTCCGTGGACATGTAGTAAAAGGAACCCCCTTCATTTAGAGTGATTCTCCTCTTCTAAGCTCATAGAAATCAGACTAGGTGAATGTTGGGGGAGAAAATCAAGCTGATACCTCTGTATTAATTCCACCAGACACTGTATTTTCGAAGGGCTCATGCTCCATGATGCATTCATATCTAGAATATAAGGTGAAAGTTAAAATGTGTAGAGGGCAGTTGCCATTTTTCTAAGTGACCTGCCAATAAAGTAGGTGCAGCCATAAGAGCTGGGATAGGTATGTCCTTTATGGTGCTTTCTCCCTGTGAACACAATAGGCTCGTCTTCTGTTTTTTCTTTCTCTTTTCTATTCAGAGCTGTTTAAGAAGTTAAATGACAAACACCTCCAGCTTTATAATGCCCTCCCCACACCATCTCCCATATCCATCTTCCAGTCTCCATCTACACTTAGCTAAGGGCATGAAACTAACCTAGTGCCTGTGTTCCAGACCATTTCTGAGGTCTCTTACCCACCCAAGGAGACTGTGCTTCAGTGCACTGTTCTCCATGCCTTCAGCAGCCCCCCCTTACAGCTTAGGTACACCCTCATCCCTTCTGCCCCCCACCCCCACCCTGGCACAGAGGTCGTGTGCTGCTTATGTCTAAAGAGATCCCCTATATTTAACTGCCTCAGTGACCTAACCTCTTTCTTCTCATGTGCCAGATGTTAAGATGAAGGAGGAATACGACACATACCCAAGCCTCAGCTGTTTAAATATATTTTCACTGGGGCTTTTTTCCGAATGGTATTTATTACCAGACTGGCAAGCCTAACTCCTTAGGTTTACGGGAAGTATGCGTATTTTTATAAAACAATTGTATGTCCTCCCCATATTTTGCTGTGTTAATATTTGCCTCTAACAATTTGCAGCTGTTTCACCTTTCCCTCATTTGTCTCTTAAGTTGAAGGCCTTGTTTGGAGGGGACAGCACAGGAACAGCCTTGACAGTCTGTAATTATTGTACAAATATTTTAATAGCATATAAATAAGTATATTCCTTTTATTTTGGAAAAAAACATCAGACACTGCCTTTTGTGTGTTTGCTGCCTGTGGCACCCTTTTTTAAAAAGACTGTTACATATTAAAATAGTGTATATATATATAAATATTACCTCTTGCTGTACAGTTGTGATAGACAAGACTGAAGATTTTATTTTTTGTGTGCTTTTTATAAAAAAGAAAAAATAACACACTAAAGTAAATCTTGCGGATGTGATTGTAATGTACCTATGTAACTTATTTACTTTTGAATGTTCTTCTGTATCTTTAAACCTTTTATTAAATAAGGTTTTAAAAATTCAGAGTTGAATGCTGTGTTCTTTTGGGGAGATTTTCACCACCTGGGATTGACCCCGTTTTGCTTGCAGGGGATTACGTGACATTTTTGAACTACAAGGATTCTCTTTTATCACCTCTTTGTCAATGACGCCAGGGCAGGAAAAATAACACGCTAACGTTTGCCTGGCTACAAAGATTACTGAAAAGATAGAGATATTTTTACAAAATTTTAGACAAGAAAAAGTCTCAACTCAGTGTCTCACACAAAAACACGGACACGGCACACTTCCCACGTGTTAGTTTCGTTGAGATGAAGTATGGAGGGTGCGGAATGCAATCAGGTGGCACAGAGGGAGCCGCAGTGCTCACGACGGTATTTTCCTACGCAGCGGCAGACCAGTCTGCCTTGATGGACGCATTTCAACAGTATCACCTTAACTCCACTCCAGAATTATATTATCTTTTAAACACGGTCCTTTGTTTTAAAAAAAAAAAATCTGGAAAATGTGAAAAAGGAAATGCGCCATCAGACTTAAGCAGTGCCCGGAGCGCCTCGCTAGCACCATGGCAACCGCTCGACCCCGCGAACCACGGGAGCGCGCGGAACTTGCGTCGTCAAGGCCACCGTTGCCATGGCTACGCACAGCCGCGAGGGCTGGCCGCGACGGACGCCGCTCCCGGAGCCGGCCCCGCCCCCCACTGCGGCAGGAACGCCTCGGCTGGCTGCGGGTCGGACGATCTGGCAACCGAGCTGCGCCACACCGCCGCAGCCCGTTGCAGCCGGCGCACGGCCGCGCCTCCCCGCCGCTGCCTCCGCCGCCTGTAGCCTCGCTTCCCCGTCCTTCTGGCGCCTCCGCTGCCCGGCCTGTGTCCGCGGTCCTCAGCCGCCCTCGCCGCCTGGAGCCATCACTGCGTCTGCAAAGAAACCGCTTGCGGGCTGGCCTCGCCGCCGCCGCAGAGACCTCAGAACTGTCTCTTCCTTCCGGGACGACACAGCCCTCGTCTGCAAAGCAGCCGCTCCTCACCCGACTGAAGGCCGGACTCCGACCGCGAACGCCGGAACGTCTCCGGGAGGAGCCCGGAGTTCCCAGCGCCCCGGCTGCAGGGAGAAGGCGGCCACGCCCCGCGACCACACCCCGGCGCCTCTCCAGCCCCGCGGCTCCTGCCTTCGCCACCCGCACTCGCTCCTCGCCTTCTGCGCTGCGACGCGACACCCTGCCTGCAGGTGGGGGACCCGACCGGAGACGCAGGGTGGCGGCGGACGCGTGACTGACTGCCTGAGCCTCCCAGAGGCTTCGCTGCGAGAACGAGCCGACGGACTGACTGACTTTGGGCGGGGGACAGCGAAAGGACAAGAGCAGGACTCTGGTGTTATTTGTTAATTGTGATTGCGTGAAGCTTACCTCCCTCGGGCATATTGGGGGGAGTGTCTGCTGCTGTCCCTAAGTCCTAGAGCACAGGGAGCCACAGTCTAATCTGTATTTGTAGAATTGGGATCCTTGGTAGTTGGGAAAATGGCGATGACACTGTTGGAAGACTGGTGCAGGGGGATGGATGTGAACTCCCAGCGAGCCCTGCTGGTCTGGGGGATCCCAGTGAACTGTGATGAGGCTGAAATCGAAGAGACCCTCCAGGCTGCGATGCCCCAGGTGCCCTATCGAGTGCTTGGGAGAATGTTTTGGAGGGAAGAGAATGCGAAAGCAGCCTTGTTAGAGCTCACTGGCGCTGTCGATTACGCCGCAATCCCCAGGGAGATGCCCGGTAAAGGAGGGGTCTGGAAAGTGGTCTTTAAACCCCCGACTTCAGATGCTGAATTTTTAGAAAGGTTGCACCTCTTCCTAGCGAGAGAGGGGTGGACCGTGCAAGATGTTGCCCGCGTCCTTGGGTTTCAGAACCCCGCTCCGGCCCCAGGCCCAGATATGCCAGCAGAGATGCTAAACTATATTTTGGATAACGTTATTCAGCCTCTTGTTGAGTCCATATGGTACAAGAAGCTGACGCTGTTCTCCGGGAGGGACATCCCGGGACCTGGGGAGGAGACCTTTGATCCCTGGCTGGAACACACCAATGAGGTCATAGAGGAGTGGCAGGTGTCTGATGTAGAAAAGAGGCGGCGGTTGATGGAGAGTCTTAGAGGCCCTGCCGCTGATGTCATCCGCATCCTCAAGACTAACAACCCTTCGATAACCACTGCCGAATGCCTGAAGGCGCTTGAGCAGGTGTTTGGGAGCGTCGAGAGCTCTAGGGATGCGCAGGTCAGATTTCTGAACACTTACCAGAACCCGGGAGAAAAGTTATCTGCATATGTCATTCGTCTGGAGCCTCTTCTGCAGAAGGTGGTGGAGAAGGGGGCCATAGATAAAGATAACGTGAACCAGGCCCGCCTGGAACAGGTCATTGCCGGGGCCAACCACAGCGGGGCCATCCGAAGGCAGCTGTGGCTGACAGGGGCTGCGGAAGGGCCTGCGCCTAACCTCTTCCAGCTGCTGGTGCAGATCCGCGAGGAGGAGGCCAAGGAGGAGGAGGAGGAGGCTGAGGCCGCCCTCCTGCAGTTAGGCCTGGAGGGGCACTTCTGAGGCCCAGGAGTTGGGCTGTGGTGCAGATGTGGGCCACGGCTGCTTTCCTTGTCTCCGCGCTGTCTTACAGGTGTTGTCTCTGAGTTGTAAAGGCTTCACCGTGTTCTGTTGTTTTGGGGGGTGGGGGGAGTCAGGCCTGGGTATTCACGTAACGTTAGTACAGTGGCGCCGGTGAGCCCCCTGAGCTGCTGCGAGTGAGTCCTCCTAGCCGCAGTGCCGAGTAAAGACCTGCGCACAAGTGCTCAGTGCAGACTCTCGTGACGGTCGTCAGTTGTGAACCTGTGAATCCGTGACACTTCCCACGGAGGTGAGCAAGTGGGAAACTGCATGTTCAGATGTTCAGGGCAGGGCCTGGCAACACAAGTGTTCAGTAAAATATGAGCTGTCCTTACGAATATCGTGAATAGTTTTTGTGTTTACAGTAAATTGCTCCTCATTTATATTAATGGAAAGAAATGTGACTTAATTAGATACTATTTAGTTATTCAACCTTACAAATTTCTTAATTTTTCATCTTGAAACATCTGGATCAGTTTAATTGAAAAGTATTCTGAGACTATGGAATGGGGTGTTAGAAAAATACTGCAATTCTAGAATTATGTAAATCAATTTTTCTCTGTACAAGATACAGAAATAAATTGCTTGGGGAGGTTAATAAGAACCAGTTACAGTATCTCTTCCCCCATTTCAAATCTTTGTTATTGAATAGTTCTTGTTCATGCTGATTCTAAGTGTTCTAAGTTTGAAGTTATCAAAATACATGTATATGAATAAAAGAATTTTAAAATTCTGTTGTCTTGTTTTTCTGACATATACAAAATTTCAGTGTAATTAAGCTCTATATTCTCTTTTCTTAGGAAGAATTCCCCATGTCACTAAAAAAATCAAACTTCAATTCCCTTAAGCTTTATAGCATACTGTGTAAGTATAAATCGCAGAACCTTTCAATGTATTCCATTTTTGCACGTTTTCTATTAGAAGGCTAAATAGATGTAAGTAAATATTACTATAAAATGTTAGGAAATACTGAAATGGGGCTCAGATGTTATCTAGCAATGCTTTTTCTTCCCTTTTAAATCCCTTTCAGCTAAAAATGTTTGTTTTGCTACAGAAATAATTCCTCATACCTGTTTAAAATGAATGTTTCAGATTTATAGCAGCCATTTTATATCCAGAGGATATAAACAGGGAAAGAGTTTAAAAACATGTTTGACTGCAGAGAATCAGTGACTGAAGATGTTTGTCTTGAGATCCCAATAAATCCAGAAGTGGTTACATGAACATAAGAGTTCAGTGGGGTTTTCCCCTAGTAACAAGGCTTTAAAATTATAGCCAACCTATTTAACAATCTTAAGGCAAAAAAATTATCAAGGCTAATACTGGTATACAGACTAAAAGATTTTTCTGTACACTCACTTATGTCCTCATCTCCCATGTCAGGTCTGTTCCACCCTCAGTCTTCTCCTAACACTCACATCTCCACATATTTGACCCTTAAAACAGATATGCAAGTCTTCGCTTCCCCCACCAAACATGTCCTCATTCCTCCACGCCCCAACTCACAGAGCCTCCCCCTCCACTCCCATCAGCATGGCGGCATGGCACTGGGTACACGCACCCCCTCACTTCTCAGAATCTTACCCGTACACACACACTCACTCCCACCTCTCCCCCACCCAGCACTCCATCATACCCCACCCCACGCATACAGTGCAGCAGTCTCCCACCCCAACCATACATTCCTGTCTCTCCACACACACATGCACACATGCTCCCACTGCTGCCCACACCAGCCGGCCACCACATATACACACATTCTCACCCATACATACTACATTCATAACAAAAGTGATTGTGGTCTTCATTTTCTTCACCCAATGTTACAGGCATCCTTCTATGTCTGTACATAGGAATACACCTTTTTATAGCTGCAGAGTTGACTGCATTTTAGAAAGGAGGGTTATCACTTGGGATTCTTCTATTATATATAATGATTATATATCTACATATACATACATATATATGGTATACATGTCAGGATTCTAGACAGCCACCCTTTATTCTAGAAAGTAATGAACTAAAAATAATGAGCTGTTTCTAATCCGAATTAAGGTTTTCTCTTTATAGGCTCAGAAATTAAAATCTGCTTTTTAAAGGAGGACAGCAGAAAAAAACATCCTTATAACCAAAAAACTGTGGAATAAAGAAGTAGAAACTGCACTATGGTACCATTCTGAGACCAAAATTATATTCAGCCGGTAGCACAGAATATGTGCTGAGACAATGTGTAATGTTCCAGCTATAATTGGGCTCTTCCCTGTTTCTTGTGTATCACAAAGGGCTAGCCAATGTCGGGTTTATTCCAGACCACACATCAGGGGCCTATCAACCCATCTTAACCTTGTATACTACTAGTGAGGAGAGGACTAGGAATGGTCAAATGCAGTAGTAACTTGCCGTCCTGGGAAGCACTCACCAGGACACTAAGCATTGAAATGGTGCCCAGAGAACTTACGGTGAAGACTTACAAACCTGGGAGAGGAGATTGTCATTGGTGGTGAACTACAGGAAAAACAAAATACAAAAAACATAAAGAAATGAGTCAATCTCTCTCCCCCCTCTCTCATACACATGCACACAAGCTGTGTGGAATGTTTGATCCAAAGACCAAATTTCTTCAGAATTGAATGTCATTGGAAGTTCATGTGGTTGCTCTGTACTAGCTAAAACTAATGGTCATATAACCAAAAAAGATACATTTTTTTTATAAAATAACACAATTTATTACTATTTTAAAACGTCTCACAAAATAACATTCAGAAACTCAACATTTCTAAATAATTTAACACAATAAGTTTAGTCATAAAGTCATGCTACAAAATTCCTGCATATAAAAGATTATTACCAAAGTATTAATAGATGTTAAAATGTTCTTCAGAATGGAGTTGGTTCTAGAGGCCAAAGATTCTGGAATGACCTCGTTACCATGCTGACACCCTGGGAGAAGCAGTTAGCTCTATGTATATTCTCTATAGCTACCAACTCACCAGTCTCTGGATGGGATTGATCCCTCCAGGCAACAGCACCTCAGAGGCAGGTACCCTGCAGATCAAAGAAGCAAAGAACTTCCCACCCTTGTAACATGAGCCACAACTTAATTTAACCAACATCTAAATTAATTTTTCAAATCTAGATGTGGGAAAGATAACTCACAAAGTTCCTATTCTGAGTAAGAGAATTCTACTCGACATATTCCCCAGAGGGATGACTGTCAATGTAGCAGACTTGGAAGGTGACACCAAGGAGGGAAACAGGGGAATCCTGACTCTGATTATGTCAACAGACAACTATTGCGCAGGTGCGCTGACAACGAGCACGGATGAAGTTGGGTTCTCTAATATCCACATGCAGGCTAGGTACTTACCTACCTGCCCTTTGGGAGTACTTTCCACCAACATCCAGTTCCTAACTTTAAAGTGCAAATCTACTGCAAAATAGTTTACTCTCCCCCACCCCCTTGTTAAACTTGCTGGAGCACAATTTGGTTGGCTGGTTCCCCTCCACTTTAGCCCAATATGGGAAATTAACTAGAATCCAGTTATGACTTCTCTAAGTGGCAAGAGAAAGTTTTTCTTCATTTAGTAAAAAGTAAGACTCAGTCTCATTTTTTCTTTCAGTCTTCTTCCTTTGTACTTACTACTTTATAAAAAGGCAGGAATGGAGATTTAGATGTGGGATTTCTAAAAGTTCAGTGATTTTTTTTAAACACACCCTTTTTTTATTGCACCTATTTTATGGTTTTACAAAAACAAAAACAACCACCTCATGCTACAGTGAAGGTAAAGGAATACGGTCAAGTTAGCTGTGTCAGAAGCACCAACTCCACTACACTGAATCTTGTTTTATATTTAATTATTCACAGACACATTAAGCAGCCTAAATAAAGTAAATGTGTGCCAAAGGAATTAATTTCAGTTAAAGGATAACTTTCAGTTCAGCAGTTAGTCTTTTCCCTTTACCAATACTTACAATGTAAGGTCTTCACAAACTGACAGACTGCAGTTAGAGAGACACTAACTACTCATATGATCAATATTTTGACACCCCCCCCTCCACACACACCAATTTTTAAAAGTTAATGATTAAATCCAACCTTTCTAGACCCTACACTTTTCCCATTTAGTCCTAAGAAAAACCCAGGTGGAAGGTTCTGGGTCAGAGAGATGACGATCTTCAATTCCACTTACACATCACCAATTCTGAGAATAAGTCAACAGTTACAATTCATTTCTTATTCCTTGTTACTCTACTTCAGACCACTGGTAAAAGGTATAAGAAGCATCTATTCAAGCCAAAATTTCTTTTTCCTCACAAGAACCACATTTAAGTATCTTATAACTGTACCAAGTTAGTGACCAATTATCATGATCAGACATTCCTCTGATCACATTGAAAATTGGTGTCTACACCAGCTGACTTCCATATATGATTACCGAATTTTGCCAAATTTTATACAATATTTTTCTGTATTTAATGACTGCTATAGTCTGGAAAATCCTATGCATTATTGGACAATGAATGAACATTTAAAGAATGAACACTTAAAAATGGTCCATTTTCTAAAAGCACACTCAAAAAGTTCAACTTTAGAGATAAAGAAAAATCTATCATAAAGTTGTATTCTGTTATAGTAAGACAGAGGTAGGTTAATAATCACTGTCCTAAGATAAGCAAGAATGCTAAGAAATAAAAGTTGAGACCCCGCTGAAAAATGTAAGTTGAACCTTCTAGCCCTGAGTTTCTAATGTTATATGAAAAGTTATTAAAATGACCATTACCAAAAAGCAAAACACCAAGGACCATTTTCCTTCCATCCATGATTATTAAATACATCACCTTCTCTCATACAACAACTCAGGTGGCATACAGGACTACAGAGTGAAAATAAATGCACCCTGGACAAAAGGAATGTTAGTATAAAGCACTGGTTCTTAACCAGGGGCGGATTTGTTCCTACCCCTCTGCCAGAGGGGACAGATGGTAATGTCTGAAGACATTTTTGGTTGTCACAACTAAGCAGGGGGTTCTACTGGCATATAGTGAAGCCAGAGATGGTGCTAAACATCCTGTAATACACAGGACAATATCATCCAACCCAAAATGTTATCAGTGCCAAGACTGAGAAACTCTGGTTTAAAGGAACAAAATCGTACGAACAGAGAACACAAAAACCTTTCAAGGTCTGACCCAGGTAATACACCCATAAGCTTAGAGTTAGGGAACACAGAAAAGTTGAATTCTTTTGTAGACTAAAATCAGGTTACCTGTGAAAAATTAAAATGCTGAACTGATTCTAGAGCTCTACCATCATTATGAGAATAGAGGAAATTTAAATGAGCCACTAAAATGGCATAATGCTTTAAACCAGGAGCACAGAGAGAATCCATCTAATCCATAAACCAAAGGCATTTAATATCAGCTAAATTTGCAACAGTAAAGGATGATTTAAGGAATGACTGGAGAGAATGTTCTGAACTTACTCATACACCCTATCTTCCATTTTCTAATGGCATGGATTCTGGCTTTAATTCCATGAAAAGGATGCATAGAAGTCATTCAAATATTTGTTGAGTGAAACTAAGTATGAATTTTGTGTGAAATGAACACAGAAAAGCACCTTACATTTCTCTGACAACTATCAGTGATTAAAAGACATTAAGAAACAAGGAGAAGCAGAGAAAATTAGTTTCTATATTACAGAATTCAGAAAACCACAC